ACACATGAAAAAACACTTTCTCAATTAATTCAACTTTGGAAAAAAGTCTCCCATGATTTCAATAATCAGGCAGATTAAGATTGCTCTCACTGCATCCGATTTGAGATCAAAAGTGGGGTGATTGAATTGTGAGTTTTGACTTATTCTTAAAAAATGTTTTAAGCTCTTAGGTTTCATAGTGAAAATCAAAATTCTGAAAACTTCTTTTAGACTTTGAGTGTCTGTTGTAATGATGTAATATTTTTTTAAAATGTCCGATTCTTTTTGCGATAAGTCTACAATCACCGCGTCAAAAAGAAGCGAAATTTTTTAATTCCCAAAAACATCAAAATGAAAACTTTAAATTCTAAAAAACGTCTGGTTTTTTTGCAAAAAAACACTTGTTTACGTGATTTCCAGCAATTTTTATACCTTAAGGCAATTTTAATCGTTTGTATCGACACGTATCAAATTTTGAAAAAAAAATCAAAATTTCGTAAAAAATGAAATTCAGTTCAAACATGGAGTGGCATAGATGTTTCATCGATGTCGCATCAAGGTATCTAAACTTTATCAAAATAGATGTCACATCGGTGAAACATCGATGTCACATCAATGTTTGTTAATAATTAGGGTAAAAAAATTAACAATCCCTGAAACATATCAAAATGATGCAATAACAATCAGTGGCGGATCTAGGATTTTCTCGAGGGGGAGGTGGATTTTCAAAAAAAAATCAAAAATTTTGACGACCCCTTTTTCTAGGTTGAACAAATTGATTTTCCGAGCTCTCCTAAAGCATTAAAAAGATGCTGTTGTGGCCAAATTTTCAGCCCCATAGGTAAAGTTTTTAAAAAACAGATCAGAAAAGCTGTTTTTGGGCACTTTTTGGAAAATTTTGACAAAAAAATGCGTTTTTTTGCCCCCCCCCTTCCCTCAAAGTTACTATATATTGCCCCCCCCCCTCCCCTCAAAGTTATTATATATCGGCGTCAACTATATATTGTTGAAAACGTACTCCGAAAAGTAGACCTTCAGACATATTGAAAACAAGTCGCGGGTAATCATTGAAACAACTGCGGACAAATGAAATTTATCTCACATGAAAGTTGTCTAGAATTTCTAAACCGGTGTGGTTGATTCGATGGAATCCCTCATACGCGAAGGACCGAATACGAGAAAAGAAAAATCAGCCAATCAGATTTCAGTAATCTAAAATTTGGAAAGAAAGTAAACATTTCCAGGGACTGGAGTATTGATATTGGCCGAATATAAAAACGGCAGAAAAATTCAAAATTTTCAAATTTTCAAATTGGGACAAATTTAATATTTCAAGGGTTTCGCAATGAAAGAAGAAAAATATTGCTTTATTTAATTCATTTTAATTGAATAACAATTGCTTATTTTTAGAAATTGACTTTCGGCTAATTTTATCTTCGGTCCTTGTCCTACAAGTTTTTTTTCGCCCATTCGGTCCTTCGCGCATGAGAATAGCCACCGTTGATTTGACGAACTTAGATTGATTTGACAATTTTATTTAAGAATAGTTGATTTTTTTTGCCCAAAATAGTAAATAACAAAAGAAAAATGACAGCTAATAAAAAATCACAACCTTTCAGCTGGATGGAAAAAAGAACCAGCATCATGATTGCTGGAGGTTAATAAAAAAACAGTAAATATTTCCGATTGTCCGATTCTAACCTCAAAGAAAAAGATAGGATACCATGACTGAAGGATGACACAATGCTTGCGATGAAAAACCGGGGGCATTTTGGGGCAGGCATTGTCGGTTGCCGCATGGATACGCAACTTAAGCCTAACATCGCACAAAAAATTTGTGGGAAGAAATCGATTTGAATAGGTTATATCGGCAAAGTTTTTTCGACATTATAATCAATTTTCATGACCCATTTTACCATGGCGATAATTGTTTTAGGGGAGTTTAACCGATTAGGTTCAAAATTCCAAAACCTAGTAATCTATTAGAATTTAATCTCGATTTCAATATAACGAAGAAAACGTCAGGGTCATCCGAATTTATATTTACATTTCAAACTAAAGTGTTCATCTAATTTTTTGTTCGTCTTGATCACCAATTAGCGTGGGAACTTTCATCTTTCATGTCACCAGCTAAAGATTTATTATTTATTTATGAAACTGCATGTCTGTCGACAAATTTTACTCATAAAAACAAGTTGCTATAGATCTTGTTCGTTTTATCTTCTTTTTTAAAAAACTTTGATAGCAGAACGGATCTCAACTCCAGCTGGAGTTGGTCTTGAGATTGTACAACGTTGACCATAGGCCAATAAAGCCTAGCAACATGACACAATAAACAGAAAAAAAAGAGCTCATTGAACATACCACGATACTGGCTTAATATAAGGCGGAACCAATGGTCAAAGGCTCAAAGTGATGATAGGGTTTCAATTGGCCTCAATAGATAGACCTCAAAGAACAATTCTGGATACGACCAAAAAATCCAGAGAACCACCATTTTTGATTCTGGAGGAGAAGATAACAGGCGAAACAAACTCTGAGAAGAAAGACCTAGAACAAAAAATTTGGGAAAAACGGGTTAACTACGAGATCAAAAAGCAAAAACTAGACAACAAAGGTATGCTGTGTGGCATAGTTCATTGAGTTAAATATATCCCTCCTAGGCCGAGAGGTACTAGTCCAGCAGAGACAGTGGAAACCAGTTAAAGACCTACGAACTATCTCGATAAGATTCTCGTGGAAGTAACTAGAAAACAACTTCGTAAAGGAGGAAGTTGTCTCTTTCAAAAGAAACAACTTCAATTGTCAGGTGCGAAAAACGGGCAAATCACTGAAACAATTCCACTCAAGTTCGGTGGCATTAGCATCGAAAACGGTATGCAGAGACCGCGAAGAAGAGTGTGTCCGAGATAGATTTCTCTCACGAATGTTAAACAAAAAATGGACTAGCTCCCTACAAAGAAAAGAACACTGGAAGATGCATATGGCTCTGCGTTACGGCGAGATTGAGCAATCAAATACAATAGAACAATAAATCATCATATCCAAGGGCAGAATCATATCCAGAAACTCATTAAGAAAACAGATTTGATGAGTTGTGTAAATCCACGAAATTTGGAGGCAGTCGACGGGAACATACACCTAAAATCCATATATTTAAAAAAAAACACTCACAGGGACAACAATTGGAATAAAAAAGATCTGACGGCAAAAAACAGTGCTACAAATGCAGTAACCCGTTTACAATTGAATGCCTACAAGTGTGCCCGGCGAAGGACAACTTTGCTCTAACTCCGCTAGAGGAGGGCAACAAACTTTAATTACAACAAACTTTAACGAACAAGGCGAGGACGCAAAATGGACTCACATACACACACATAGATTCACGTAGATAAAATGGACTCAGTGGTTCCAGCAACCGCATATTAAAAAGCTTGACATGCTACGACGGGGCATACGTAATTTTGTTGGGCAGACTCATTCAACCAATTAAATCAAGTGGATGGACACTATATTTGGCGTCACTCAAAATGGTAGATGGGCATAGAGTCATTATAGTAGGACACATATCTTATCAAAAAATGGAATTAAACTGCAACAAGAAAAACCAGTATAACAGTTGGTTCTCAGCTTTCATTCAAAAATTGACTCAGAAACCTTAGTTGAAACTTGGGTCAAAAAACCATCAAGCATTTTCAGGACATTTGTTAGATTGAAAAACTACCCTGCAAAATCTGATTTAGGAAAACAATACAGATCAAAACAACAAAAAGTATTAGGAGTACCATTCCATCTTCTGGAGAGTGTGGTACAGGAAGTAAACAATCTTATAATTGAAGAAGTTACCAAAAAGCTCAAAAAATTCACCGACAAGCCGTGGTTGAACCCGATAACAATCACAGTGGTAAAAAAATAATCGATCCAATATCAGGAAACAGTATAAGGAAAGAGGGAAATTTATTTCTCAAGCTGCAACCAAAGAGTATAGGAGTGTCAGCTAACTAGAAGAAAAAGTGATAGGGACGTATCAATTCCAAAGATCTTCTAGGGCCTAACAGATATGCCGAAAAAGTTCCAAAAAGTAAAAAAAAATTCTACTTGACAGACTGCAAAAACACTTTTGCCTTTCTAGATGTTATACTAGCAGTAACAAAAAAGAAAAAAATTGGAGCACCAGGGGGTGCTAAAGTGGGTTCTAGGAAAACTATACCATGAAAACTCAGGCAAGGACAAAATGCCGATTTGTATTTAAAAAATCTTCAACCACCAAAAAAGTCTAAACAGATAAAGAGCTTCCTGAATTTCATACACCATCTGACAATACATATTAAAAACACGGTGCTTATTAGGTATCTGCTACAGTCAGTGAAAAGATTCGCTCGAATGGGAAGACATTCATCAAAGTATGTTCGAACGTAGTAGACTACCCGTAGTAGCTTATATAACCGAAAACAGACAATTCGATCAAATTAAGAAAAATAGAATGGGGTGCCCAGCCTCAACAGAAGGCCTAGGCGGGGCACTAAATCAGTATTCCTTTGAAAATTGGGTACAAACTTGGTATTCTCCATGATTCTTAAGACACATACAAGAATAAGTACTCGACCAAAGAATTAGAACTAGTAGGAATAGTTTGATCGGTGCGAAACAAACTCTTCAAATACTATCTGTATGGTGTTTTTCTAATATTTACCGGCCATCGAGTTTTTTTGGGTTCATTACACTCATCCAAAAAGTAAAACACCGTCTCATGAAAGCTAACTACATAGATTGAAAGACTACTCTTCCTAACTTTTGACATTAGGCAATTGGCCAGATTTAAAATGGAACTAAATGACAACTACACTTAAAGAGGCTCTTTCAACAAGGTGCTACCAGTGTGATATTCCCTAAGTTTATCTGAAAACTGAAATAATAAAACAGTTGAATTAATAGTAAAGTTAAATAAGTAGATATGGATCATTGAATAGAAGGTAACTATAATCTTGCAATAGCTAACGAAGAGTGATTCTTGGTTTTAGCACCATCAAGCTGTTAGAAGAATAGACATGATTGGCAGGTCTTTAATTCGCATTAACCAATTGATCTCTAACATGATGATGCATAGTTCATTTATTACGTCCTCTATCCTAGGTGGTCAACTCACTACCACCACATTTCCCCTCTCGAAAATATCAGACAACGTATGAAATTCAGTCACAGGTTCACAGAAAACAATTTAATCAATGAGTTTAAAAGTTTAAGTATCAGAGAGTTTTTTTTCCTTTTACTTGTTCCGGCTTATTAGTCGCGAACGTTGGTCTCCTTAGTTTCCTCCTCGGTGATGGTGACGGTGTATTTCCTGGTGACGACGGAATATCTCCCGGTGAAAATGAACTCGTTTGCAGTCCCGATTTCCCCTCAATGTTTTTGACTGAATGTTTTAGTGGGCTTTCAAAGAACTGTGTCTGCCGCTTACTTCTGCCCGACGACCTTGAACTGCTCGAGAATTGTGAGTCCTTATCTCCTTCACCGCTCTTTTTCTCTTTCCTTTTCTCTGGTCTCGTATTGTCTGCTGTTTTGGTTTCCTCCGATCTCTTTTCCGCTACTCCTGAAGTTGTCCCTATCTTCGCATCCGTCTTTCCTTCCTTACTCTGTGAAGTAATTATCTTCTCCGTTTCTGTCAATTGCTGACCTTCCTCTGGATTGCTTTGCGTTTTATTCTTCTCTGTTATTGGTACCGAGGATATTGGACAGTCAATTCTCTCTAATGCCTGGCTCGTACCCTGCACCTCCTTTGTTGAGACAGGCACTACGGAAATCGGGCATTCTTCTGTCGTTTTTGCGACCTCGTGCTCTGGAGAACTACTTGAGGACATAGTCAGGTCGATTATCCAACCGCCTGGAATTCCTCGTAGTACGTTTGGCGACGCTATGTATCTGTATGCTAGAGTTGGCGGATTCTTCTTTGCTTTCTTCGTCAATGAGGAATGTAACTTCATCGTCTTGGCTTGCAGTCTGTCCAATTTTGCGAATGGCCCCTCCTTGTTCTCTACATCTGAGTTCTCTGTCGACGTTGAAACCGGCAAAATATCTGGTCTTGGCAAGATGTGTACTGGTCTATTTGGTCCACTTGAACTGCACTGGTGTAATGGCCTCCTCGGTGTGCTTGCGGCTGGTGTCCTTGTACCTAAATCTGAACAGTATACTGACTTGAATTTCGGTTTAAGCGATATGTGGTTCTCTGGCCACGGAATTGCAACCACGAACCAAGAAAAGCTCTCCGCAACCAGCGCGGCCGACGCAACCACTAACGAGACCGAAGTAAAATTTCACGAGGGGTTTTTTGAAAAACAAATCACGTAAATTGATTGGTGGGCAAAAACTATGACAGAAGTATGACAAGCGCAATTTCTAAAACAAAAACAGACTAATTTAATTGCTTGAGTAAAAACAATCCAGGGCAGGAAATAGTTTATAATTGATTCGAATTTTACTTGTACTCGGGTTGTTTTTTTTTCTAGAAACATTTCGACTTTTAAACTCATAATTTTTGATGTTTATTCAAAAAGTGAAAGTACTATCTCCCTAAACTCAAATTTAAAAAACATATTGCGACAGTTTTGTAGAGTTTTGAGAGTTTTTTCGAGAAATTCTTTCAGTTTACAGTTAACGCCTAACACAAAAATCCCAGTTTGCATTAGCGCCAAACAGTAAGAAGTATTCCGTCTCAAAAACTAATTTAAGTCGATTTACGGAGGCCAGTTTTTTCCAACAATTTTTATAATATATTGATTCAAAGGTTTATTTTTTAAAAATTTTAGCAATTTTTTTGAGGATTCATATGTGCTTTTTATTTGACCCAGCGAAAAGAAAGTAGAAAAAACTCAACTGAATACGACAAGCTGTCCGAAATTCCGCGGTTGAAACAAAAATAACAACCAAATACAAATATCCGATACAAATAAAAACAACCAAACACCGAAATTTCAGTGATTGGAGCAAAAATTCAGAATCTTGTGTGAAATAGATTTTCTTGAAGTCAACCTCCATCAAAAAAAGTATTTTACGTTTTGACTTGAGAACAAAAATTAGAAAATAATCAACTACCGGCACCACTAGATAAAAACATGCGCAACCAAAAAAACTGTGAAACTGAATTACTATTTCTGATATTTACTGTTTTATGCTACGAAAAAAGCAAAAATGGCAAAAATCAAACCACTCGCAATCAGGTTCTATGGATAATAATGGATTAAAATCGGTTTTTGGGGTCAAGAATGTTGCCATTATGATTGAGTATAATTACACTTTAGGACGACAGAGTCGATTATAATCTAATTATAATCCATAAATTTCGAAGAATTTAAGTCGATTATCTTCCATATAAAATCCATTACAAGGATTATAATGGATTATTATCTATCTGAATTTTTTCTAAACTTTCTACAAAAATTTGCAACTTTTTCTACATTTTTCACAAACTTTTGGATTTTTAATTCTACTCACATCTAGTTAATTTTTGCAAAACGATATCCAGCACACTTTCAACAACCTTTACCTTCAAAGCCCACCCTTGTCTCCCTATTTATTTCTCTTTTTATCCCCCCAAACAACAAAAACCCCTCCAACTCTCAACACCTATCCTATAAAAGTTTTCAAAATTTTCCAATAAATCTAAGCGTTGAAATAACAGGCAAAAAAAACGTTTTTATGCATTTTTCAAAATAAGCAACCCTCCCCGAACTAACCTTTCTCCCAAGAAAAACACACCCACCACCCGAACTCTCAGAACTCTCAAAATGGGGTGAGATAAACATGTGCAAAAAGACATTAGTGGGGGATGGATGGTAAGTGGGCGAGGGGCTGTGATACGCCGAATAAGAAAAAAAAAGTAGAAAAAAATTTAAAATAAAACAATTAATTTAAATTTATAAGCCAAATGTAATATGCAACTTATCGATTGCAATCTTCAGGTTTTGAAACTAAACGGAATCTTTTCGGAAAATCCAGGTTTTTGCTTAAAACAAATTATGAATCATTATAAATCATTATAGTCCAATATAATCCATTATAATCCATTATAGTTCCTTATGATCTTTTAAAATCCATTATATCTGATTAAATTGGTTTATTTTGATTTCTTTTTAAGTGGTTTATAATCAATTAATAATCCGTTATTTTCAATTACTTTGGAGATTTATGGAAACGGAGCTTGAAAGTCCATTACAATCGATTATTACTCATGGAACCTCATTGCGGTCAGTCGTCGAAACATTTGAAGATCGCTGGCCGAGGGACCAGCGAACATTCTTAAATAGTCCTCGACTGATTTGTTTTTCGCGAACTTTGCTTTTTTCTTTGCTAAAACAGTAAATTTTATAAATATTAAATTTAATTCAGTTTTGTTTGCCACCTGATGATATTTGTTTTTTGACGAAGCAATACGCATTACAAAATGATTTTTTTTGTTCTTGTGACTTTTTCCTCCTTATTGAAATTTAGTGATTCTTTATTCAGGTAGAAAGCTTCAAAAACTGTTGAAAATTGGCCTAAGACATTGCTTCTCAAAATTTTGTACGAGATGATCTATAATTTTTAAGTCCGCTGTTTATGTCCAGATTGTCTCGAGTGTATATCCAGAGTTATCAAGCTATGATACAGTTTATCGCGACTAATTGTTCAGTCTTTCGTCTAACAATTTCCACACTATCGCGACTCTTTTTTATGTATATAAGATGAAAGCTTGACTAATTTCTTGACTAGCGCGACTGATTTATGTTCTATGGTAAATGAACTCGATTTTTGAGTTTTTCCCGATTATAAAACCCTGTTTAGATCATGAAAGTTTGGTCGCGGGATTAAAATTGACAATTTTTTGAGGTCTAAAAATTGGTGTAAGCTTCGACAACAACAATTTCAAAAAAATCAAATCAGTTTTTTTGTATTATTTCTTAAATCTTGCTGGATATCAAATCACAATTTGCAGTAAGGATAGCCGGTTGCTGTGCACAGAATGTTCCGGCCCATTTCTCGGAAAAAAAACTTTTCTTCAAGTAAGTGTGTTCTCTTGTGCGTCGCGTGATGATAAACTAAATAAACGCGTAGATCATCAGTGAATTAGGCATAAATGACTATAAATATATTGAAAAAACAAATAACAAATAGATGAAAGTTTTTTTCCAATTTCTTTGAATTGTTTCAATTTTTTGCACTTAATGTTTTTTCACGTTTTTTATGCCTAGGGTTTTTAAAATTAAATTTTTTGAAAGTAAAACTGAGAAATTTTTAGCCTAAATTGATAATTTTCAAATATAATGAACGTTACTCTATCGCTTTACTCGCTCGAAAATAGACAAAAAATCAAAAATTTCAAACCGATTTTTCTCAACACTCGGTAAGATAATTTGAAATTTTTCAATGTCTTTCGAATCACGACTAAAAGGGTTTAAAAAAAACTGAAAAACACCCGAACACAAAGTTCCTCCCCATTTTCAAATGGTAGGAACAATAAGTCAGCACGCAGAAAAATTTATGAATTATTACGCTCCAAATATATTTGCTTAAGCTTTACTTGGTCATATGGGTCTGATAATTGATAGCATTGAGTGGAAAAAATAATGACTTAGCTCAAGAAATTTTTTATCATTGATTTTCTTCTTTTGGTTTTCTTTTTAAAAAGGCAGCGAATGAAATTTAAAAAAGCAGATTTAAAAACCTAAATTCTTAGCATTAATTAAATCGCCTATTTATTCTTTTATTCAGTTGCGTTAACTCAAATTGTGAACTAAATCTCTTCGAAAATTTATTTTGGTCGTTTCTCAAAAACTCTCCCCAAAAAACTGCCTTTACTTGAGTAAATCAAATAACTGTTTTATACTCATTTAACCAAATAAAAACTACCTAGAGTTAACATCTTCACCCTTGAATGTTTATCATCATAACAAGGCTTCAATATGACAAAATAAAACTATCTATTTACGACCAATTGCAACATCAGTGTTATCAGATAAGTTTGGAACCTCATCGAAAGTATCAGTAGAATTAGAATCCAATCAGCATATTGA